GATATGAGCACGCGCTGCCGCTTTAATTGAGGCATAACATTACAACGCGCAATTAGCCGATATGCGAGCGGGCGCGACACGCGCGAGCGCGCGCGGGCACGCGCACACGCACGCACGCGCGCAGACCGTCTCACCAAATCAGTGGCATGCACGATGCCCGTTGCTAAGCGATGTGCCTTGGCCTACTTTTACGACCTTTTCTCTCTCCACAAGCCAGAGAAAATACGCAGGCGCTTCATTGGTTAACGGGGATACTTCCACGTCGGCCGTCCTCCAATAACGTCCCGCTTTGAAAATTTTTGACATGAAATTCCTCACACTCAAGTTGTCTTCCACTCCATGGTCTCTAGACAATAGAGAGAAAGTTACAAGTTGTTATTAAGATGCAAAATGTCAACGTTTAAAAGGCCGCACCTCTCAACCCGTAAAAGGTGAATGACTTGAAATGTCCGACGCACAAGCTCAGCTCAATGTTCTCGAGGGGAGACATCCTTGGAATGGCAACATTTTTCTGGCTATTACGCAGCCGCAAAAAGTCAACATTTCAAAGGCTGTGCCCCTCATCTAATAGGTGTGAATGACTTGAAAAATTCTCAAAACAAAAGTCCAGCTCAGCACTGCCTAGAGAAAAAAAAAGACAATGGTGTTATTTTGCTGCAAAATGTCAAATTTGATCAGGCTACACCTCTCACCCAAATAAGTAAATGACTTGAAATTTCTCACCCGCAAGCCCAGCCCAAAGTTCTCAACATAAAAACATCCTTCAAATCGTATGTTTTTTACTCACTGTTATGAAGTCACAAAAAGTCAACGTTCAAAATGCGGCAATTTCTCACACATATATCGTCATTTAAAAGGCCGCATCAGTCACCCACAAAACGGGATTGACTCTTGAAATTTCTCACACGATACAATTCAGTTTTCCTCAACATCAAACACTTGCGCCACAGATTTCGCCCCAAATCTTAGACCCAACAAGATACTTGAAATTTGACGTGTGGAAATTTGCAATCAAAGAAAAGTCAACATGTTAACAAAAATGTGTGCGGCTTTGATGAAAAGCACAACAACAACATGAAGTGAAGAAGAAATGGGAAGGCCAAAAATGAAGCAATAAGTTGCAGCAGCGACTATTTCGGGAAGCGCTTGTTTTTTTTCCCCCCATTTGCGCTCGCGTTGCTAAAGACGCTTCTGTTGACAATGTGATACGCTAAATGCGGCCATGATGTTTCCCTCAGCGTGACCTCCAATCAAGCGCCTCGTCGCCCGCAGGCACACAACAAACCCCCTCCAAAAAATTGAGCGCCGCATCGCTCACTCTCTTCACCGTTTATGCTAATTAGCACACAGCAACGCACACAGATGCATTAGAAGGTTGAGTATTTTCACATTCCGTTAGCATCTGGGGGGGGTTAAAGAGGCCTCTAAAGTTGACATTTCAAGTCCGGTTGAATATTCTTGACATGAAAAAAGACACACAGTAAATGCTAGAAAAAGATGCTAATATGCTATTATGCTAACTATGACTATCCTGAAATTTCTCATCATTACAAACTGTAAAATGCTGCCTGACCTCATCCAGTGAGAGTGAATGACTTGAAATTTCTCACACACAAGCCAAACTAAACCCTTTAGAAGGCATCATTTTACCAGCGGTTATTGAGACACATCATGTAAAAGGCCGCACCTGTCACCCAATTAGTGTCGCTGACTTGAAATTTCTCATATTAGCAGTAGAAAAAAAAAAAGCATAGAATTTTAAATTTGAATTGCTATCAAGTGCAATATCGGCTCTGAATTAAGATGAACAGACAAAGAGAGAAGTCTGACTGAGTTAAAATTCCTCACACACAAGTCCGGTTTCAAGTACAAAGACATGCTTTGGATTCTCGACAACAACAAGCATTTAAATGGTCACATTGGCGTAATGATGGCAAATATAAAAGGCGGAATTCGTCTTTCAGCCTTTTTTTTTTTTTTTTTACTTGAAACTTCTCCAACAAGTCCTCCTCAGTGTTCTCAACAACAACAACAACAAAAACAACATTTTACGGGCCATCGGATTTTTACCAGATGGGGATGCTGTTAATTTTTTAAAAAACAACATTTTATAAGGCTCACCCAAGTGGTCTGACTTGAAATTTCGGACATAAGTCCTCAACATCTAGCTGAGTTGTCCGTCCACCTGGTGTGTGCATGTGTGTGTGTGCGTGTGTGTGTGTGTGCATGTTCCCGAGCTGTGAAAAGGCACCAGGCTTCTTGTGAGTCACGGCTTACAAGCTTTAAGTCACTTAAACCCCCATCAAGGTAAGCATTCTTTGGCCAGTCACACCTCCCCCAACCCATACACACACACACACACACACACAAGCACACATACATCAAGGAACCAAATGTTTGCAGCGCTTTAAGTGAAACTAATGTTAGCTAATACGACTTTTCAAAGCTTCTTCCCTTTTCGTGGCTGGTGTTTATTGGAAGTAAACAAACACAGTGAAATGTACAGCTAGCATTGTATTTATGGAAGAGATTTGATTTAAAATTGATGGCCAGCAAAACCAATGAGTGAGTATCTACCACTTGGCCTCAATATAATTAATCAGCGGGAAACAAAATGTAACGCTCCGAAGACGGTGGCCCAGACAATTCTAAATTTCCCGTAGGTGGCAACATTGTCTACGTTGTGTGAATTTTTCCATATTTGCAAGTCATACGAGAAACATTGAAGCAACACACAATCACAATTACAATCACCTCTAATCCGGATACGATCGACAGAACATTAAATTGGATCGACTTGCAATTTCTCATTCCAGCTCATAGTACGAAAACATGTTTTGGATCAGAATGTTTTGCCCGTTGGCGACGCTGTTAATGAGCGCCGTGATTACAAAAAAATTCAAAAGCTGCTTCCCGCCGCCCTTTAAGTGGGTGAACTGAAAATTCTCACACAAGGCCAGGTCAATATTGTGGGCATGAAAAATGTTCTTCAACTCCCATAATGTTTTTGTTTTTTTTATTTACGTCACACAGTCGAACCAAAATGTGTTTGACTTGAAATTTCTCAACGAGTCACGCTCAGTGTTTCCCACAAGTTGTATCTTATCTAACCTCAAAACTTTCTCAGCCTTTAAGTGACTTGAAACTTCTCAAGCGCAAGTTGAGCCAGTGTTATTGCGCACTAAAATCGTCATCATCCCACCTCGTAAGTCTGACTTGCAAGTTCTCACACAAATCCGGCTTTTGTCTTCTCATGATCGTTTAGCTGGTGGCATTTTACTACTGTCGCTCTTCATCTCCCATATGAAAAAAAAAATAACCCAGTAAAGTCAGACTGACTTGAAATATTGAGCACACTGGTGCAGCTCATCGTCTCTGCAGTACCTTTGGATTGTAGAATTTTGCCCGAAAAGGCTGCACCCTCAGAATTGTCACAGTTATTAAGCACCAAAACATTTAAGAGGCAGCACCCCTCAAATCCGATTGATTTGAAAAATTCCCACAAAATAATCTGATTGTAGTTTTAAGACTTGTTATTACGTACCAATATTTGAAAAAAATAAAAGAAAAAAAGCCGACACATGATTCGTGTTATTGACTTGAAAATTTCTCAAAAGCGTAACGTGACCAAAAAAAGAAATCCTGCAGAATTTTGCCAAATTTGGACCGCTTTATCAAGCACCAAACTGACAAAAGTGAAACGTAAGTCTGATTGACTTGAAATTTCTCACACTGGTGTAGCACCGCAAGATATTTCTTCACAATTTGACCAAATCGGCGCCAATGCCAGAAGAGTCAAAAGGGAGCACCTCTCACCCATTAACTCGGATCGACTTGAAATTTCTCCAAAAATCATTGTCTTTGACGACACCCTCTTTTGGATTGCACCATTTTAAAAGGCTGCAATCATACAAAGCTTGACTTGAGATTTCCTACACAACTGTTAAGACCTTGAATTTTTTTTTAAATGCAGTATTTCACATAGATGGCACTCAAAAACCGCGTCAGGCCCTAAAATGGCCACAATTGGCCGACTGCAGGAGCGCACCTCCGGCGTATAAATATTGTATCACATTGCCATGGCGGTAGAAAGCAAGGTGTACCCTCAGTTGCAGGTTAAACCTTGGGACTTAATTGAGGGGAAGTGGGCAGGGTGGGGGTGGTGAGGACAAACAGCCACGGCGGGCGGCTCGGGAGCGAGGAGAGGCTATGCAATGAATGGAAAAGCAGGCCACACTTCTATATCCAGGCCATCTTTATTGATCCTTAAAACCTTTCACAAAGACCGTCCCTCCCTCTTTTTCAAAATCTCATCCACCCAAAAACAAACAAACGAACCAAAAAAAAAAAAAGGGACTACAACCAACCAATAATAAATAAGAATCTGCGTGATTAAGGCGGTTCTACGTCTCCATGAGAACACAAAACAGTGTGGACATGTTGGGAGTTATACAGCTTCAAACAGTACAAGCAGTTGATTTTTTTTTTTGAGAACAGCACATCCCAAAAAAAAAAAAAAAAAAAATTTTTTTAACTCTTTGAAAAATTGGACGACGCCTCATAAAATTAAGGCTCCTTTTTGGACCTTCTGAGCTTATTTTAATAACAAGCTGGAGGATGAG